ATGTTAAAAGTTTCTTTCAGGCTCTTACTCTGAACACTGAACAGTGGCTCTCCTCCTGGTGACACTGTCTGAGGAGACTGTGGAGCGGTGAGGAGGCAGGGCTTAACTGCCACAAGCAGGTCACTAGGACAGGCCCTTGGAGGTTATAGACCTGACCCCCTTTCCCTGTTTCCTAGTCCTCCGTGACTTGAGGAGCCTCCACTGTGCACTTCTGCCTCCATGTCTCCCCACTGTGATGGATGGGGGCCCTTGAAACCATAAGCCCAATTAAATCTTTCCTCCCTTAAGGTTGTCTGTTGAGCAGCTAAACCATATGGTTGGTCATTTGGGTGCCGGCAGGCTTTTTCTATAAACAGCTAGACAGTTAATATTTTGGATTTTCTGAACTACGTATATCTTTGTCACATATTCTTTACATTTTAAGAATATAAAATTCAGGTTGAGGACATGACTCCATGGGTAAAAGGTCTGCTGAGCAAGTGTGAAGTCCTGAGTTCAGACCTCCACCACCTTGCAGTTGGTGCACACCTGTAACCGCAGTGCTGGGGGATCAGAGACAGGCAGATCCCAGGGACTCTCTGGTCAGCCGGTCTACCTAAAACAGCAGGCTCCAGCTTCAATGACAGACCCTGTCTCAAAAAATGCGGTGGAGCATGATCCACAGGCATACATACATGGACAAGTGTAGCCAAACACATGTAAATATACACACAAAAAAATGTCGAATTCACTCTTAGCTTAAGGGCATTACAAATATTACAAACTACGTTTTAAGTTGTAACTGACTGAGTCTTGCTGTAATTAGGGAGTTTATTGAGAATGCTAGTTACTAAGGCCATTATCTATAACATTTCTTCACTAACAGTGTTAGTGTCTTCCTTATGCCACCCAGGTTTGGTCTTATTATGAATTCCATGCAGTCTTAATGCTTAGTGTATCTCAGTTCAATCCATTTTTTGTTTTGATCTCTTGATCTCTCTCTCTCTCCCCTCCCTCTGTGTGTGTGTGTGTGTGTGTGTGTGTGTGAGAGAGAGAGAGAGAGAGAGAGAGAGAGAGAGAGTATATTGCCTGCATGTATGTAAATGCAGCCATGTCATGCAATGCCTGCAGGTCAGAAGAGGGTATCAGATTTCCCTGGAACTGGAGTTATAGATGGTTGTTAGCTGCCATATGGGTGCTGGGAATTGAACCCAGGTCCTTTACAAGAGCATGTATTTTATTGCTGAGTACAGTGTTATAGTTCAGTACGTACACCAGATATGCAATGATCAGGTCAGGGAAACTAGAGCATCCATTGCCTCAACATTTATCAATTCTTTTTTGTTGGAACAAATTCAAAATCCTCTCTACTACCTATATATAAATATCCAATCAGTTGTCAACCACAGTTAGTCCATAGTAGTATAGAAAGTGTTAAGTATTTCTCTACCCAGTCGTACCCTGTACCCACTAACAATCTCTTCCTCATACCCCCTCCTTCAGCGGCATCCATCCCAGTCACTGAGACCCTCTGTTCTCCTCTCTACTTCCATGAAATGGGTTTTTTTTTAAAGCTTCCACATAAAAGTGAGAACACGAAACATTTGTCTTTCTAAGCCAGATAGCATACTGTCTTCCAGTTTTCTCTGAGTTGCTAAAAATGACAGGTTTACATTCTTTTTATGACTGAATAATATTCCATTGCTTCTTTTTTTGAGGCTTTTTGTCTTTTCTTTCCTTTTCTTTTCTGGTATTGTCTTACTATATAGCCTAGGTTGACCTTGAACTTGCAATCCTCCTGCCTCAACCCCGCAAGTATAGGGACTACAGGTGTGTGTCATCATGGCTGACTACCACATTTTCTTTATCCATTCACTTGTGGTTGGTTCTCTGCATCTTCCTGTTGCCCTTTTGTGTAGTCGTTTCCCTTTGTGTTTGTAAGATTTCTCTATGTATTTTGCATACAAGTTGTCAATAAGTAAATGAATAAATGCAAATCCAAGTAAAACAAAATGTTGCTTATTCTAACTAGATGCTGCTGTCTAAACAGATTCTGAGCCTGAGGCTCCCTTGTACAGCTGAGAGATTAGTGAGGATCTGAGACCAGTACAAAGCTCTGACTTTCTCCTTGACTGGACCAGACCAATTAAATGAGAATGGAAAAGATTAGGACTGGAGGGACGCCCTTGTTTCTGCCTTCCGGGACAGCTCATTGGAACTCAATGCACTGGTTTCCTGTGAGCCCCTAGAGTGCTGGGCTATTCTTGACAGGCAAGCCTGTTCTCTGCATTTACAGCTATAGCGAATAATATGTAAGGATGAAATCACATGGAGCAGCTTGCACAGTACAGGAGTGGTGGGAAACATTTAGTGCTTTGATGTTACTCTTGCAGCCATTACTGTAACTTTTAGGATGACTTTGGTTTCATGGTCTTGAAGCAGAAAATGGATCTGCTGAGGAACATTGGGGGCTGGGGCATCTGGGAATGCTTTCCTTATAGCCACTATGGCTTGGGAGGCCACGGAATTTGATTTTGCCAGAGAACGGAGGCCATACAGTTGAGAAGGTTCCTGGTGCTCTGTCCTCTTCCTGTAATAGAAGGTAAAATGTGACTGTGTCCACATTCAGGACAGGTATCAACACACCTGGGTAGGTCCAAAATCTCAGTGTAGACATGAGTACCTGGCATATTACATTTGGCTCTTTTGTGGAGTATCTGTCGCTATGCTGTCATTGTTAAAGATCCAAACGCTGTTACCATAAGGGACTTGGGGGTTAATGAAGAAGCCATTGCAGAGTAACTATAACAGGGTAAAGTAAGATGGATTTCTCCCACTGTTACCCTTCTAATAGTTGCACATGACAGGCACCAATTTGGATCAGCATAGTGAGAAAGAAAGCATTTGAAGTCCTGTAGCTCAGGAATGAGTGGCTTCAGGCATCAGAAGTCTTGCAGGCTTAAGGCTCTGCTTTCTTCTGTTGATTTTGTTCTAATGTGTGGCGCCAAGGACCAACAACTTAGAAGTCTCAGCTAAGGCAGAGGTCTCTTTCTGGCTTGTTCCAGTCTAAAGTGGTCCACATGACAATGGCCAGGACGCACATTCCCTGCGGTTAAGGGTAGAGGCCAGCCTGGCCGTTCACACCAGTAGATCTGGGAGAGGAGAGTTTCCCCTGAACCATCAGAGGAAGGGAGAAGGATATGGGGCCAGCAGGCACCTCAAGTCCCACAACAGCATCACCAGCATTAAGTGGCTCTCAAAATAGGGTGGATATCATTCCAGGTCAGAAGCAGGCGAGCTTCAGGGAGGAGGTGACCTTTGGTCTTGACCTTAAGGTAGAATGCAGCTGGGCAGCAAGAGCAAAGCTGTGAGTTTCTGTGGTATGCAGGGAGAAAGGAGGAAGGAGGTGTTTTGTTGGAGCCCTCAAGCCAGGCTTGGTGGCAGTTGTCTTAGTAACCTTTGCAAAAGTCCTGCCTCCTTATGTCCACGGGAGACAGATCTAGAGAGGTCTAACAGAATTCCCTGACCCATAGCTGGCACCTGACACACTTAGTCCAGCCCTGCCCCATTCCAACCTGACCTATAGAGCTTCTGGAATGCTCTTTCCAAATCATAGACTTGACAACATTTGAATTGCGGGCTTAAGTCCATAGCAGTGTTTGAGTGCAACTGGGTATTGGGGTCTGCTGGGAAATAGGGAGGGGTCCTCCAAGGAAATGCGGATAGGAGTGTGATGAGAGGCCAGTCCTGGGCCGAGGTGTCCCAGACCTTGGGATTTACTTCGGAAGGGGGAAGGGGCCATGATCTGGCTCAGGGAGGGGGAGGCACAGGGGAAAGGAGGAAGAGTGTGGAGAAGGGGAGAGAAATAGACAGGGAGAGCTTTTGCATGACATCTCTGCCAAGTAACGGAGCTGGACGGGTGGGCATAACCAGGAAGGAGTTAAAGGCACCTTCCAGAATACACAAGCTAAGGGTCCTGTCGATTTGGGGTTGTGAGGATTCCCATCAACCCCCACCATGGAGATCTGTGAGGGAAAAACTTTACTGGAGTAGGAAGGGAGAACCACCCATGACGCGCCAGTGTTGAGAATAAAATGAATAATCTTACCCACCACCATGGCTGATACCCTGGGCTCCTCCATTGTAATAATCATAGAAGCGGTGGGGGCCAAGAAGCCAGGGCTTCGTCAGTCTTCAGCCACCAGGCCCAGGAGGTCGTTCACTGAACCCTGTAAAGGAGACTGGGTCTGGGAGGTGAGTGGCCTTCCATGGCGCTGCAAAGAAGGACAATCGACTCTCCAGTGACCTTGTTGTCCACAAGAAGGACAGGGTCCAGGGGGTGGTCGCAGGTTAGAGCATTGCCTTACCCAGTGTCCAGTTGCTCTGCACTTGAAGCAGGGTCCTGGTGGATGTTGGGGTGTGGGGGGAAGTAGGAGAGCGGGACTGTTAAAACCTGCCCTCTTTAGAGATCAAAGGGGAAGCCTGCTGTGTTGGCCAAACAGTGGAGAAAAGTCTGCTTCTCTTTACTTCAAAGACCAGGGTGCTTATCAAGCCCCTTTTCTCAGGGGCTTGCGAGGTCCCTGAGGCCCTGTTGGTGAGGGGGCGGGGCTATCTGAACCTTAACAGTTGTTAGCAGCCATGTGTGTGCTGGGAACCAAACTGGGGTCCTCTGCAAGAACAACCAGTACTGTTAATCACTGAGGCATCTCTCCAGCCCAGGGAAATTAGCTGGTTAGACTGTTAGACTGTGGATGTTAGATGGTTAGATGGTAGATGTAGATGGTTAGATAGTGGATGTTAGATGGTTAAATGGTGGATGGTAGATGGTTAGATGGTAGATGTTAGATGGTTAGATGCTATATGTTAGATGGTGGTTGGTTAGATGATTAGATGGTTATATGGTGGATATTAAATGGTTAGATGGTAGACATTAGATGGTTAGATGGTGGTTGGTTAGATGGTAGGCGCAAAGGAGGAGAGGAGAGGACTGGTATCCTATCTAATGATGTCCTGTGTCTCAGCAGGTGCCACCATGCCTCTGAGGAAGTACCTGCTGAAAGGCCTGCACCGGCTGAAGAAGGGCCCAGGCTACACGTACAAGGAGTTGCTGGTGTGGTATTGCAACAACACCAACACACATGGCCCCAAGCGCATCATCTGTGAGGGGCCCAAGAAGAAGGCCATGTGGTTCCTGCTCACGCTGCTCTTTGCCTGCCTGGTGTGCTGGCAGTGGGGCATCTTCATCCAGACCTACCTGAGCTGGGAGGTCAGCGTCTCACTCTCCATGGGCTTCAAGACCATGACCTTCCCAGCCATCACCGTCTGCAATTCCAGCCCCTTCCAGTAGGTAGTTCCTAGAGTGTCACCTTCTCTGCTCTTCTCCCTCCTCTCCCCTCCCTTCCAACCTTCCTTTCCTCCCTCCCTTTTCCTTTCTCCTTTTTCTCTCCATAGTCCTTCTGGTTTTCTCCCTTCCTTTTTCTTTGTCTTTCTTCTTTTCCTTCCTTCTTTTCTGTTTTGCTTTCACTCTTCAAAACATGTAAGATTAAATAATCATAAACTTCCTGAGAACCACAAGATAGCTAGATCTATATAGCTTTGGGGGAAGGGCTTTTGTGCATGTGGCGGCCAGAGTTCAACCTCCAGTGTTCCTCAGGCACTGTCCACCTTGGGTTTTGTTTGGTTGTAGTTGTTTAATTTTCATATGTAGACATAATGCATTTGGACCAAATCTACTCCCTACTCCCTCCTGTCCAATTCCTTCCCTACTGTCCCCTTCATTTTTTCCCTCCTAACCTCATGTGCTCTCTCTTAACACCCACCTGAGTCCATCTAGTGTTGACTCTATGTGCATGGGTGTGGGACCATCTACTGGAGCAAGGGTAGTCGCTCAAGGCCTGTATCCCTGAAGAAAATTGACTCTACCTTCCCTTGCAGCCATCAATTGCCAATTGCTCCTCAGATGGGGTGAGACCACATGAACCCCTCCCCCATCCATGCTGGGATTTTGGCTGGCTTGATTTTATGCAAGCCTTGTGCATGTATTCCTAGCCACTGTGAGTTCATGTGTGCAGTTGCTGAGCAATTGTGCAGTCATGTCCAGAAAATACTGTTTTACTACAAACATCAACTCCCTCAGGTCTTACAATCTTTCCAACTCATCTTCTGTGATGATCCCTGAGCCTTGAGGGGAAGGGGTACAGGGTCTTTCACTATGACCTGGGTTCATAGTCTAGGCCAGTTGGCCAGTGAACCCCATGTGTCCACCTGCCTCCACCTCCCCAGTGCTGGGATTACAAGCATGTGCCATCACACTGGGATTTTTATGTGGGATATGAGGATCAAACTCATGTCTTCAGGCTTGGACACAAGCACTTTACCAACTGAGCCATCTCCCCAGCCCCTAGATATCTGTATCTACATCTATGTCTATCTAATGTCATAAATCAGGTATTTTGGCCTACACCAATAATCCCAGCATTCAGAGACTGAGGGAAGATGATCATGAGATCAAGGCTAGCCTGGCCCACACAGGGAGAACCTGCCTCAAAAACAAAACTGCACACACACACACACACACACACACACACTCACACACACACTATAT